TGACCTCTCCAGTTCCAGTCTCTGACAACTCACAGAGCTTTTGTTTGCTAGTATTTTGATATATCTATAATAATAATCCTTGCATTTGATATAGCGCTTTTTCACATCTTCTAGAATTCTCAAAGCACTTCACAGAATACACTGTAAAGTGAATTGACTGTATATTTTTGTGGGCGAAATGCGCCAGCCAATTGCACACAGCAGTGTCCCACAAACAGTCGTGGATTGAGTAACCAATTTATTATTGCTTTTTTTCCTGAGGGATATTATCAGGCGTGTGGAGTAAGGAAACTTGCCCAAGGTTTCAAACCCAGGTCTCTCGTTTGCGTGGCGAATGCTCTACTGAGCTACAGGACTCCTTTGTGCAAGCTCTCCCTTGAGTGAAGAGAGAAAGATAGAGTGGCAATGGGGGAGCACGGAGGAGAGAGGGAATAAGGTATGGGGGTGCATTCCCCTCTACACATGTGTATGTATGCGTAGGGGGAAGAATCCCATAATAACATTTAAATTTGCTCCAAGTCTCATTGATGAACAAAGCAAGATGGTAAATTATCATCTGTGTACTGGAAATCTACCAGTTGGGGCATTGCATCATCAACTTCACACAAATAAATGACTCAACTTTGGTCTGTTTTCTGCAGTTGAGTCAATATGAAGATAAGCACAATCCCAATGGGATCCACTTCTCCTCTACCACTGAGGATAGTTACAAAATGATCATCATATAGCTGACATGCAGTTTAGACCTCTCATTGGATGGCTAGGAACATAGAGATAACTCACCAAGCCCATAGCTTTCAAAAGCAAGGGTAATGCAAGGTTGTACACAGTCAGCAAACATATTTGATTTATTCATCAATGATGTATGGGACGACATTGAGAGACAGATGTGGTGTATCTGTTCCAGGCATTTGTGACATACTGCAATGCTTCTGTTTCCAGATGTTATCGTGCTGTTGATGGACTCACCAGCGGATTTTTTTGTGCTGCACTCACCATCTTCAACACTGGGCCACTCAATGGGACATCATGATGATGTACCTGGCAATAGAATGTCAGAATTGAGTCAACTCTCTGTGACAGTCTGGTTCTTGGGCTAGGTGGGTTGACAGTAGTCCAAGGCACTGTTGTTGATGACAGACCAGCCAGCTTGGGTCATCAGCACGATATGTATGAGGAATCTTCCCACTCACCTCCTGTTTACCCTGCAAGCTGAAGCAAGCTGACAATCTAATGTGTAGGATTGTCCTAGCTGGACAAATGGTGAGAAATGTACCAGACACTGATAGCATTAGCAAGCTGTACAACTTTAGCTGGTTATTCTCCAAAAGTACTCCAATGCACACTATTGGTTCTCATCAATTTGCACCTAATACTCTCTGGAATTAGGTAAGCAGGGAATAACCCTCCAAGGAGAAAGAGTGTTCACATTCCGTTCCAAGCACGTGGACATTTCGTTTTGTTGGTGGCATACATATTTGGAAAACTCTGTGTGGTTTGTATACTTTTAGGCATTGTGATAGTGCCTGTGTCTGTATGTGTCAAGACACCTGGCTGAGCAACATAAATGCAGTCACTGTACTTTACAGTAAAATCCTGTGAAGTGTTTTGAGACATTTCAATGGAGCAATAAGGTACTCATTGATCATTCACTTCATAGCTGTTTGTGGGATACTTCTGTGCACAAATTGGCTGTCTCTTTTACCCCTTGAAACACAGTTAACGATATCAAGAGAGAATGGCAAATTTTACAATTTATTGTCTTCATGTAGCAGAGAAGCACCCAATTGGACTGATATGAACTTTCAGGTCCTTTGCATTTCCACATGTTTATCTGAAATCAAAATAGAATTATTTTGATTGTGTCAATTCAATGTCCTGAATTGGTCAGGACATTGGGAGAAAAATAGTCCCATGGGATCTTTATTTCCCACCTGAACAAGCAGCCAGAGATTTAATCTCTCGTCCAAAGAATGACATCTCCGACAATGCAGCGCATCCTCAGCGATATATTGAAGTGTCAGCCTGGACTGTGTGAGTTCAAAGTACCAATGTGGGGCATGAACCCACAACCATCATGACTTGGGGACACGACTGCCAACATCCAAGCTACAGTCCCAAATAATAATACTCCTTGCATTTGATAGAGCCTTATCATATCATCAAAACATCTCAAGAACTTTGCAGAATATAGTGTAAAATGGTTTGACTGGGTGTTTTGTGAGCAGAACACGACAGCCAGTTTGTATATAGCAATGTCCCACAAATAACCATGGAGTAAGTCACCGATTTTATATGGGGGATTGTTGGCCAGGACACCGGGAAAAACTCCCTTGTCTTTTCGAATAATGCTGAGGGATACACCTGAACTTTTTGGGACGTCCTCCTGACATGAAAGGGGCTATACAAATGTATTCTTCTTCTTCTTGTTGAACAGACAGGTGAGACCTCAGTTTAACCGAAGGATGTCACCTTCTTGCCTGAAGGACGGCACCTCCAACAAGGCAGCACACTCCCCCAGCATTGCGTTGGAGCGTCAGCTTAGACTAAGCGATTCCATGTCCCGACTGGTGGGGTTGAACCCACAACCTTCTGACTCAGAGGCGAGAGTGCTGCCTGTGGAGTCCTGTAGCTCAGTGGTTAGAGCACTCGCCTGGCAAGGGAGAGACCTTGAACTCCTTGAACTCCCAAAACCTTGGGCAAGTTTCCTTACTCCACACAGAGCCTAATAATAATCCCTCCAAAACCAAAAACAATAATAAAAATTGGTCATTTTCAATCTACGACTGTTTGTGGGACATTGCTGTGCGCGATTGGCTGCCGCGTTCGCCCACAAATATACAGTCAATTCACTTTACAGTGTGTTCTGTGAAGCGCTTTGGGAAGTCCTCCCGACGTGAAAATATATCAAATGCAAGGATTATTATTATTATTATTAATGAGCCGGACTGAGTCAGAATGAGAAAAGTGGCACGACTGAGTCAGAGCGATAAATATCACCAGGTGGAACTGGTCCCAACCCATTGCATTTTCAGTGGCGCAGTGACGACATCCCTTCGCCAGACCATCCACCCCAACAACAACAACAACAACAACAAGATTCCATTTATAGAGCGCCTTTCACGTCAGGAGGACGTCCCAAGGCGCTGCACAGTTGGGTCATGACCCGAGCAGGGGGGAAATGGTCAGGGTGAGGGGAGGGAAGGGAGGGAGAGAGGAGGGGGAAATGGTCAGGGTGAGGGGAGGGAAGGGAGGGAGCGAGGAGGAGGAAGAGAGTCGAGAGGGGAGCTGAAGGCACGGTCAAAGAGAAAGGTTTTGAGACCGGCCTTGAAGGAGGAAAGGGAGGAAGCAAGGCGAAGGCACTGGGGGATGGAGTTCCAGAGCCTCGGGGCTGAGAGGCTGAAGGCCCGACCACCGATAGTAGGGCGGTTGGGGCGGGGGACGTGGAGCAGACCGGAGCCAGAGGAACGGAGGGTACGGGCAGGTAGGTAGGGGGATAGTAGGTTGGAGAGGTAGGAGGGAGCAAGGCCGTGAATGGCCTTGTAGGTGAGGATGAGGATCTTGAAATCAATCCTCTGGGGGATGGGGAGCCAGTGGAGGCGAGCGAGGGTGGGAGTGATGTGGTCCCGAAGCCTGGTGCGGGACAGTACACGAGCTGCAGAGTTCTGAATGACCTGCAGCTTGTGGAGGGAGGTGGCGGGAAGGCCGGCGAGGAGAGAGTTCCCATAGTCCAGCCTTGAGGTGACAAAGGCGTGAACCAGGGTTTCAGCAGCGTGAGGGGTGAGGTAGTGCCGTAATCTGGCGATATTCCGGAGGTGATGGAAGGCGGTGCCAGTTGTGGTGCGGATGTGAGGGAGAAAGGACAGCTCAGGGTCGAACAAAACGCCGAGGTTCCTGACTGGCTTTGAGAGGTGGAGAGTGCAGCCTTGGATGCTGATGGTGTCAGCGCCTGAGGTGCGGAGGCGCTGACGTGAGCCAATCAGGAGGGCCTCGGTTTTTTGCACGTTGAGCTGAAGAAAGTTGTCTCTCGTCCAGGACTCGATGTCGGACAGGCAGGCTGTCAGGACATCGGTGGTCGTGGAGTTGAGAGTAGAGGAGGAAAGGTAGAGTTGGGTGTCATCCGCATACATGTGGAAGTTAACCCCATGTTTGCGGATGATGTCACCAAGGGGGAGCATATAGAGGGTGAAGAGGAGGGGACCGAGGACAGAGCCCTGAGGGACACCACATGAGACAGTACGGGGGGTGGAGGAGAAGCCATTCGTTGAGACGAAGTGAAGACGGTGAGAAAGGTACGACCTAAACCATTCAAGGACAGTGCCTTGAAGGTTGAGGTGGGAGGACAAGCGGTGGAGTAGGATAGTGTGGTCGACCGTATCGAATGCTGCCGATAGGTCGAGGAGGACGAGGAGACAGAGGGAGCCCTGGTCACAGATGGTCAGGATGTCATTGGTGACCTTGACCAGGGCAGTTTCTGTGCTATGAGCAGCACGGAAACCTGACTGAAGGGGTTCAAAAAGAGAATGGGTGGAGAGGAAAGAGCGCAGTTGGGAGGCGACAACTCTTTCCAAGACTTTGGAGAGAAAGGGGAGGTTGGAGATGGGCCGGTAGCTTGATAGCTGCGACGCATCAAGGGAGGGTTTTTTCAGGGTGGGCGTGATGGTGGCAACACCACATGAGTGGTGGTGGTGGGGGGGGGGGGGGGAGTTGGAGAGAAGCAGGCGAGGCGCGCCTAACCCCGCCCCCTCCCTTTGTTACGCGCAGTCCATGCTTTACGTCGTCGAGCGCGTCGGCGGCGACGGACGTGGGTGGGTGGGTGCGTGCGTGCGTGCTTGCGCGCTGACGCCGCCGGGCCGTGCGTGCGTGCGTGGCGCCGCCGCCGCCGCCGCCGCTCTGGCCTCGGGACCGCAATGATCGAGAAGTTCAGGAATCCCACGTGACGTCACCAGAGGTGATGTAATGCTTCTGTAAATAGAAGGTATTGTAATCGCCGCTCAGTCCCAACGTGGTTTCCCCGCAGATCCGCTTCTTCAATACACTTCGGTAAGTTGGTGGGGGACAGGATTCCCGGGACAGCGCGACAACCCCCGCAGGTATCCGCACGCTTTCGGGGCACTTTGCAACTCAGTTGTTCCGAGTGTAAAACATTGCTCATTTTGCTCAGCTGCTCATTTTTTTTCTTCTTCTTCTCTTTCCCCCTCTCTCTCTCTCTCTCCATTTTTTCCCCTCTTATCCCCCCCCCACCCGCACCCCCCCCCACCCCTGTGTTAAATAGTAAACAGTAAACTGTACCGCCGGAGACTTCGGGGTGTGTTAAGGGGTTTGCAAACTGTTGACTGGGTGACTGGGTGGGTGGGTGACTGGGTGGGTGGGTGACTGGGTGGGTGGGTGACTGGGTGGGTGGGTGACTGGGTGGGTGGGTGACTGGTGGGTGGGTGACTGGGTGGGTGGGTGACTGGGTGGGTGGGTGACTGGGTGGGTGGGTGACTGGGTGGGTGGGTGACTGGGTGGGTGGGTGACTGGTGGTGGTGGTGGAGGGGGACATCGCTGTGAGGGAGTGTGGGAGTGAGATGCTGTCACAGCGGCGGCACTTTTCCACACACACACACACACACACACACACAAAAAAAGTGTTTTAAATGAAAGTTGTTCGGAGAGCGCGGTGTTGGGAAGTCATTAGTATTCTTGTCGCTGTTTTGTGTCTGGGGCTCCGGCATATGTGATAGTGTCTCCTTCACATCACAAGAGACCACGGAGAGGAATTCTCTAAAGTGGTGGCGGTGGCGGTGGCGGTGGTGGTGGTGGTGGTGGCGGTGGCGGTGGTGGTGGGGGAGAGAGAAAATAAAAAGATTTCGGGCGAAATATAGGTTTGACCAACTTTAGCTTCTCGGTGACTTTGACTTCTCAGTTGTCAGCAGTTTTCCCGCAGTCGGGTCGCTCCAACCCGCTGGAAGTGTTGCTCCGGGTGGTTTATCGAATGAAGCCGCACATTTTTTTTTGTTGCAAAAAGTATATAGTTACGCCGTGTCAACAATTTACTTCACGGATTTATAAAGCGTTGAGAGATTCCGGGTTTCCCCTCCTGGTTTACATCGGGAGCGCTATTGTTATTTGAATCCCTTTAAACCGGGACTGGTTTGTGGTCCAGGGAACGCGCTGATGGTGTGTCAAACAGTTCATCGTTCGGGTCAAACCGGTTGTCAGCAAAAATGAATGTTGTTAATTGATATGGGAACGGTCCTTGTGGTTGGGAATGACGTCATTCTGCAGCCTATTAAGTGTGTTTGATTAACAGTCCGAGATATCGAGGGCTCAGAGGGCAGATCTGCTGACAAAACGCTCTCCTTTCAAAGGACTATCGTTCAAAAGATGTGAAGCCGCAACATTCCCAATAATCCCAGCAACTGGGATTTCCCTAAAAGTTATGCAGTCTTTACAAAAATGTCTTGTAATGATCCCCCCCCCCCCCCCACACACACACACACACACACACACTATCCCTGGACATCCTTCATTAGTTGTTGTACTTGTTTGTGGAAAGAGATACATGTACGACCTGGAACTCGGACCTGGAATTATCGATGAAGCGGTGCATTCAGACTCACGCGTGGAAATTTGTCCCATCCTTCACCCAAACCGAGGAAATATTCATTTTTAAAAAGCAACTTACGGGGTAAAGTTGCGAGGGACTGAATCCGGGCTGTGCGTGACTTAAAGCTATGTGTTTTTTTTCCCGAATCGAAATTCTGCTTCATATTTTGCGGAAATGCAAACGCCCCCCTTCCCCCCCCGTAACAGCTCAGCCGCTTTCCGAGCAGTTAACTATGCACAGAGTTTGCTTTGGTTCTGTGAAACGCTGCTGTGCAATTTATAAAGTTACGCTTCGCAGCAGATCTGCGAGAAACCGTACCGTGTAACTTGACTTCAAACGCAGAAGTTTGGGAAGGGGCACAGCGACCAATAACTCGCAGCGCAATTCACAGCAATTCCTGCGTCTCAGTGTGTTCTGGACATTCCTCGCGTGTGAAACGAATGTATTTATTTCCAGCGTCGTGCACCTGGGGAAAGGTTGGCTGGAAACTGTAGTCTGTATTTCTTATTTGTTTGCGACGACAGAGTTCCCCCCCCCTCCACATATTTTAAATTTGACTGAATATGATGTAGATGAAGTAGTTTGCACTCTACCCGGTTGTAAATTTGAGAGGATTAGCATTGCTCTGAAAGGCACTGACCTTTTTAAGTTAAGAAAATCATCGCTAGGGACCGCGCTCGCACTGTTGCACAGCGCAGCGCAGCGCAGCCTGAGAGCAAAGTGCTTCACACCAGTCCACACGGTCACTCTGCTGCTGGGAGACAGATCGACTGGGCTGCAGAGGGTTAATATCACGATCAGATGAGCTGGTACATGGGGTGTGGGTGGGGGTGTGGGGGTTACTTTTAGTTATATAAAGGCGATTCTTAACGTTAAACAACCCATATGTTGAGAAGCGTGTGCTCTGCAGTGCACAGGGCTCAGTGAGCTTTGGAAGCTGTTCCTATCCGCGCTCCTGGGCAGCAGCACATTACATCAGGGCAACGCTTATTAATTGCAAAGCTTTTCACAGAATTGGTGTGGAATGCTTATGGTTCCAGACAGATGGATAAACTGTACCGAAGCTGAAGTTTGCACCGTCTGCACTTACTGAACTGTTGATGAAGTCATCGCGATCAAGAGAACTCGATGGAGCAGTGTTTACTCTCCACACACACTCACACACTCACTCACTCACACACACACACACACACAGACCACCACTGTATTAAAGCCTGTGGTGTTCTGCCACACAGACCCCAGGAGAAACAATTTGTGAATTGCCTGAGATCATGGATCAAAACGCAGTGTAGATCTCCCAGAGAGTATTACAGTACCTATAAAATACTAGGTCATGCCTTGCAAGGTTTGCTGCAGCAGGGTCAAACGTAAATTGTGCAACAAGTACATGTTAAAACAAGAATCAGGTATTATTCAAGATTAGAAACAGAGGGTCAGGTTTTGTGGTGTGTTAATTTCGAAATTATAGTTTATCGTACAAAATAGTTGGGCAACAAACCTAATGACTCCAGTCGCTTAAAAACTAGAGTGAAGGGGATTATCTGGTCAAACCCACATGTAGCAATGGTTTATGTGTTTTAATTCAATATTTCAACATACTAAAAATGGTTGTGTTTGAGAGCTAAAATGTTTTTGTCAGAGTTATTTGTGGTTTGTAGCCTGCTGCAAATAGCAGTAAATTAAAAGCTAAAACTGTGAAGACTTCTGTGTAGTCTTGCAATAGCTGATATATCACATAAGAAGTTGTTAGCACAATCAGATTTCTAAATGTGTTAATTCTATTTGGGTAATTTTCTGGTATTTTTAATCATATATACAGTTATGTCACAAAATCATAGCATGCAGCTGTATTCTATATTGTTCCAGACGAACACTGATACAGTCAGGCTCCTTGAAAAGAGCTTTTTCTTAATTAAAATCTATAAATACTGTTCTAATAGTTTAGCTCAAGCTTCTGATAATTGTAGAATTTAACACATCTAATAACCCATAAAACATTTATTTATTTAAAGTTAGCAAACTATCAAGGGATTTTTAAAATGCAACCAAAAATCCTCTCCATGCTCTCGGCTTCATTTGTTGCAATATGTCCTTTTAATTAATGTTGTTGAAATTTAAAACAAAGTATTGGAGTACATGCCTATGACTAAATTGATTACATTAATATGGGATGGTTGTTTCAAAAACGCCTTCCTGCTTTCAGAACACTTTTATTATCGCTCCCCTCCACCAGGAACATGGTGTCCTTCCATTCCGTTCTAGGAATGATCCAGTCCTACCCTGTCCTCTGTTTTTCTATCCCCGCAGAAGCTTCTCTCTTCTGCAGATTACTTGACCGAGGACGGGTGAAGCAATGGCTCAGGTGTGTGCATTTGGTGAATGTTTAAAGTAATAAATGGCTACTTTTATTTAGAACTGCTAAAATGTCATAAACTTTTACATTCATTATATTTGGATTGTGTTTCATGGCCTTAATGCAACATGATTTTGTGTCTTTCATAGCCAAATAAATTACTGTAATTGAGAGGAATAAAACACTTTTTTTACTCTTGGCATCGTTCTCAGTATGATTTGCAAACCATCTGTTTGTACTGCCTCTGAGTAAAAGTACCCGTTTTATGCAAATCAAGCAAATAGTTTCTAGCGCCTTGGGATGTCCTCCCGACGTGAAAGGCGCTACACAAATGTAATTTTGTTGTGGATGTTATATAAAATTTTAATGGCAGCATTCTGCAGGTATACAGTGGAGCAAACAAAAGCTTTTAATTCAGATTTAAAAAGTTGTAGACTCTGTGTTTGGTTAATTTAATAAGAGGTGTGAATTCTCTCCAATTCAAAACCTTAGGCAAATTTCCTTACTCCACACATCTCTGTTTACCTAACAGTAAGTAGGAACCCAGTTGTTAGTCGATTGGCAGATTGCTTGGCACAATATTCCCTCCAAAAGAAAATATTGGTCACTCAATGCACGACTGTTTGTGGGATACTGCTGTGTGCAGTTGGCTGTGGTGGTTTCAGTTACTACACTTTACATTATATTCTGTGAAGCTCTTTGAGATGTCTCAAAGACGTGATATCAAATGCAAGGATTATTATAATTCTACATCACCTATCTGCAGATTTTACATATCTCAATAAGAAGTAACACAGTTGCAAAAAGTTTAATAACTTGTGATAAACTCAGGAGATTTTGTTTAAAAATGTAAAGAATTGCACAACCTGATTAAAAAAAAATCAATGGGCTTAATTACCTAAGATGTTGCTAAATTATGAATCATTTTGTGGAGATGTGCTGACCAGCAGAAACAGGGTTGGTGCTCTTATGTAGGATTCTTACAGCTAGCCTGAGGTGAATCACTTTTTACTGGAAATAAATCCTTATCCCAGAAATGAAAGAAAAGTGTACTAAGTTTCCGAGTCACCATTTTCTCTGTTGGCCTTTATTTTTTTT